CAGCTTCTCCTGCCAATATTCTCCATTCTCTGACTCCACTGGTCCCCACTGGCCGAACCGGCCATCGCTCCCCTTTTGACGGACTGGACCTGGTTCCAGTCCGGCGCTCTGCTGGTAGATGGTCCACAACAAGGGCCCCGACTGTCTCGCGACTCGTTCTCTCTGCTCCCTTTCGTCTCCCACCCTGACTCTGGCCTGGGTCGCGTGTCTCACATGGGAGTGGGAAGGCAGCAGACAGGACGCAAGCAGGCACTTGAACAATGCACCCACCTGCTACTCCCGGAACCTTGCCGCCCCATGAAAAGCCCGGGTCGGCCCGCTGGAGAATGAGGATGCAGAGGTGAGAGCAGAGCACTCGGCAACATAGGCCACAAGCCCCCCCCCCCCCCATCTGCACAGGTGCAAGGCCAGCCCAGCTGGGCTGCTCGGCCTGACCCAGACCCACCCGGAGGAGCCCGACCCAGTTGCTGGGAAGGGTATTTTAAGCAGTCAAGTTTCAGGGTGGTTTGCTGTTCAGGAAAAGCTAACTTGTAGAACCCAAAGGCTAAGCCCCGCTGGAAGAAAACGTATGCGACCCACAGACCCGTGTCAGCTGCTCCGACCGCTGTCCCCGCATTAGATCCCGGACTTGCCGCTTCATAGAAGAGAAGCCGTCCGAGGTGAACCTCCTGGATTTCCAGCCCCCCGGGTCTCTCATCAGCATTTACTCTCTCGCACAGAGAACTCTCCACTGCCGACCTGCCCACCAGCCTTCACTCTGTTTCGGAGAGCAGGCCTACACTGGAGGCTTTCGGTTTAAACTCTTCCACTTCCCCATCATTCAAGTGCACCTGGCCCGGCCTCCGTCTTGGCCCTGGTCACACCCGATGCACCTGTCTCCGTGGGGCTCACTCTGCCCCCTCAGCCTCGCTGACCTCTGCCCGACCCCTGAACGTACTTTTCCTCGAGGCTCCACACCCGGCCTTCGCTCCCCTCCTTCCTTTTACAGGGCTGCACAGATGGGTCAGGTCTCGGCGCCTGGAGCAGCCCTCTCCTGAGCTCCACATTCAGGCGCACAGCACAGCAAATGACCCCACCCACTGAGGCTGTGAGGACCCTTTCACTAACTCCCCCTCCTCACTGAGCGGGTCTCCTTGCTCGGCTCCGGATGCGGTCACACCTCTGCCTGAGGTCACTGCCTCTCGCCTGCAACTCCCAACAGCCTCCCCGCCGGTCTTCCAGTCCACCTGCCATCCACACCGCAGCCAGTCCGGTCTTCCTAACAGTCCTTTTCTAAGCAGATCTAACGGTGTCCTGCTGTGGATACGGCCTCGTCCAATTCCTACTCTCTAGCACTCAGCACACAAGGCCCACGACCGTCGGTAATGTTCACCGGGTGAAGTGTCCAGTAACCCAACAGGCGCACATATGAACTCAAGCCCGAAGTGTCACAGATCAACGCTGAGAAACGTGGGAAAGGCCTGGTCTGACGGCCAAACAGTGAACCCCCAATTTCAACAACTCACATCATCTTAGTCTTAAAATGGTAAGTGCCAAGGTTTACGTCAAATTCTTAAAATTACTACTCTGCACCCCCCCACACCCCCTCCCCCAATTGCTTTAGTTTCCAACAGAATCGAAAACAAGTCCGAACGTTTGAAATTTACTTACGTGCAAAGAATTGACTGGTCCTCACGATCTAGAAAACAAAACAAAACAAACAAAAAAAAGAAAGTGACCATTTGCCTGGTGTTTTAAACACTTGATACAATAACGTTGCAGTAACGGCCCACAGAGTATTAGTAACTCCGCTCCTGCCCCGCTGCTTCCCCAACCCTTACAGGGCCCTAAATCCAGTCACCCTTGCTTTGCCTTACAAGGCCAGATCTTCGGGGGGGGGGGGGGGGGGGGGGGGCAGCGAATAACAGCCGGGCTTCGGAGGCTTTATGTGCCTAATCAACCTTGACGCTCAAGCCGTGTGCATAACGGCTTCACCTGGGGAACCTTATAAAAAACGTGTCCCCCAGGGCCCCTCCCTCATGGAATCATTTTGGGATTGAAATTCCCTGTTTCAGTAAGCTGCCCAGGTGACTCCGATGGCAGGGTGAGGTTTCAGAAAGGCTTCGAGAACACTCACAACTAGGGAGGAATCGTTATTAGAAAAAGAGAGAGAGAGAAAAAAATCAAACCCTGAGCGGGGAAGGCTGAAGGTGGACAGACATCTAAATGAAGCGTAACCAGCGTCTCAGGTCCCGATGGTATAGGCACCAAAAATAATAAAACAACGTACAGCAGAAGCAGAATCGCACATGCCGTTAAAGTGACGAACGACTTAAATCTTTTCGAATGAAAAGGTGACATTCAAACCCACAGCGAACCCACGGACAGGCCCCCTCCCGGCCCCCCAGTGTGGGATGTATGATTTCTAATCATTTATGCGCGTGGATATCCATTTTTGCAGATGAGAAAATGCTCCTGGAGGGGGTCAGGTAATCCACCCAGGTCCCGCAGCCGCTGAGGGGTGACGACCCGGGCCCGCGCTCGCAGGGACCAGCCCAGGTGGATCTTTCGTCACTCCTATGCAGAGGCTGCTCGCCCTTGGGTGGCTACATCAGGACCCAATAAGGGTCTCACAGTAGTTCAGGCACGGACAGCATTTTTTTTTTTTTTAAGTAGGCTTCACACCCAGCGCAGGGCTTGAACTCACGACCCTGAGACCAAGACCTGAGCTAACATCAAGAGTCAGCTGCTTAACCCACAAGCCCCCCCAGGCACCCCCCGCCAGCATAAGTAGCTTTTGTCAAAGAGAAATAAATGTCATGGTATTATTAAAATAAACTAACCCATTCGTACACTCTGTGTATAAACTGAGTTCTACAAAGAGCGTGTTACTGCCCAGTGCCTCAAGCCTCATTGAACTGGGAACGGCCCCTGACCACCACCCTATCCCTCCCTCCGGCTGCGCAGGCCACATTCACGGGACGAGGCTGACCCCTGCCTCCTTTACTGGTCTGCTCTCGCAGGGGTCATGACATGCCCCTCCTTCCACGCGCTCCCCCAGGCCCACGGCCACCGTGTGTCCCCACGTGTCCTTCCGTGCTCAGCTCAGTTGGGGCCCCTCTGGCTCCTCGATGCGTCCTCCTTTCAACCATATTCTGGAGTTACACACACAATACCGCCAATGCCTGCCCACGAGGCAGTGCTGCGTGAGATGTGGCTCGCTTCCCTACACCAGCACTTTCGGTGGCTCAAAGTCAGTGCTGGGTGCCGCCCTGGGCTCTGCAAGCTCGTGCCCTGGTTCTCACTCTGCCGCGAACTGACTCCGCATCTATAAATGCGCCACTGATGCCCTGCTCTTCCCGCATTCTTCACGCATGCGGCTAGGGTTTTAACAAATCCGTATTTACTCACTGTAAATAGGAACCCCCAGAGCCCTAAATTCTCCAGGTCTGAGCAACTTCCAGAGAACCCCACCACACCAAGTTTCTTACGGCTTTTCTGAACCGGTGCACACATACAAAAACTAACCAAAACTCAACTGCCTCCGAATCAATTCAGGACGGCTCTCTTCGGGCATCTGTACACACCTGCTATCGTTGTTCAAAAGCGGAGACCCTCACAACCACCACCTACCGTTCCAATCTGCCCCGTACTTCATGTCCTGTGCTTCTCACCGCCGCAGCCCGAGCCGAACCGAGCCAGCTCTGCTCGCCAGACTTCTCTGTCCTCGATGTTCGACTGTCTCGTCTTGTGCTGGCTCTGCGCCTCAGTTTCCCCATCGGTGCAGTAAGGGGTTGGGCTTGATCACCTCTAAGATGCTAGCCAGCCGTGATCCGACCACGCCTCCCTTCTGCCTCACTGAATCCTCCTCACCCTGCCGACTAAACAACTATAACAACGTACGACGACCTCGATCTCTAAAAACCAGTAAATGTAACCAGAGCCTGAACTGATATTTGAGGGAAACCATTTCGCTTTCAAAAATGCAACCAGCCTCCTAAAGACTATGGAGGCCTTTCCTAGCTCAGCGTTTCCCAAAGCACCTCCCAAGAATCACACACGGAGGTACTCGGTGAATCCATACCGAGTTAAATCATAATGCAACAGCAGAAGTGGTTTCCGATCAATGACCTCAGCTCCTACCTTAAAAAACTAGACGAGAGCAAATCAAATTCAAATTAGAAAGAAGAACGGAAATGGGAAAGAACAGAAATCAATGAAATGGGGAACAGGAAAAAGAAGAAAAAAAATGTAACCAAATTCTGGTTATTTGAAAAAAATCATATAATTGATAAACTTCCAGCCAAACTGATCGGGAAAAAGACACAAATTGCCAAAGTCTAGAATAAGACAGAGAACAGCTACCTAGGATCCCACAGACACAGTCCAAGAACTAAGATAAAAAAGGCAACTTTTTAAAAAGACGTAAACCACTAAAGCTCATTTCAGAAGAACGAATAACCTGATTGGCCCCATATCTGTTAAAGAACTTGATTTTGTGGAACTAATATAACGTTACATGTCAATTACACCTCAGGTAAAAATAAATTGAATGTGTAATTAAAAGCCTTCCTGCAAAGAAAACGTATTTCACTAGTGAATTCCACACAACATTTAAGGGGAAAAAAAACCATGCCAAACTTTTCAGAAAAATCAAGAGGAAGAAACCTCTCCCTCCCAATCCACTCTCAGAGACAAGCCCGACTCTGACACTACAGCTACAGAGACGTTACAATACAAGAAAATGACACACAAATCTCTGTCATCAGCAAGGGCACAGAAATTCTCAACAACACGTGAGCAGATCAAATCCGACGACACAGACAAAGGGGGTACACACATGAGAAGCAGGTGACCTTCGTCCTGGCCACGCAGGGTTATTCAGCACCCAAAGGCCAACGATCTAACTCACCTTATCTACAGACCAAAGAATATCTGAATAGATGTAGAAAATGCATTTGACAAAACTCAACATTCACTCATGTTAAAAGAAGAAAAAAAAAAAAAGAGCAAAGTAGGAATACAAAAGAATTTCATGAACAAAAAACGTGTGCAGTGAACACCATCCTTCATGGTGAAAAGGTGAAAGGTGTGCCCGAGACCAGGAACACGGCAAGGATGTCTGTTGTCGCCACACCTACTGAACATTACTACAAGGCAAGAAAATAAACCCAAAGCCTAAGATATGAAGGAGGGCACAGCAATGTCTCTATCTGCAGAAGACATGCTGGTCTACACAGAAAAATCCCAAAGAATCTACCAAAAATACCTTCCAGAAGAAGCGAGTTTTACAATGTTGCAAAATACGTCAATGCGTGTATTTAAAAAAATATCTCTTACATCAACAGCGTGCGATTGGAAACGTTTAAATTTTAAGTTCCCTTTAACACTAGAAAGCATGAAGCACTTACTTACGTTGCGGTCTGTGTTTTACTTAGATACAAATCTGACAAGAACGGGAAGCTGAGATTTTTGAAATCAAGTTTATGTCCAAGAACTCTGCCATTCATTCATTCATTCATTCAGCCAGTGTTTCTTGAGCAACTACTCTGTGCCAGACCCACTCTGCATTTTATTGGTACAGTGTCCCCTAGAATCCGAACTTAGGAAGGAAGGTAAGCTCTCCTCTGGTTCTTTGCATTAAAGACACAAACTCTGACCAGTAATTATGATTACCGATCTCTTCACGGGCCCCCATGGCATTTGGAGGTTTTGCTCACAGTGGTAACTGAAAACCTACACGGACCAGGACTGGTAGGCAGTGTAAGCTATTACTCGACTACCCGAGCGCAAGCCCAGCCCCGTGGAGCTGGGCGGTACATCAGCGTGTAGCCCGTACCTACAGAACGGAATGGGATAGGGTTGCTGACAGGTGTTTTGTTTTGTTTTGTTTTTGAACAACTTTCAGTTGTCATGTAGCCAAAACTATCAACTAATTCTTTCTGCTTTTCACGTGGAATTTCATGACTGTGGATGCGAATGTGTCACACTGCCTTGGCTTTGAATCCTAGTTCATAACCCCTTACGACCGACATTTTCTTGGGTCGAGTTTTTAACTGTTTGGTGCCCCAGTAAAACAGGGACAGCAACTCTGTTTACTTGACAGGATGGTTGTGGTAGATCATGTCATGCACATGAGACATCGGGCCAGTGGCCGGCACACAGGAATAGTCAACAAATGTTCACTCCAGCACTAACGAGGATAGCGGCAACGACACGATATGCTGGTAAGCCACCTCTTCCTTGTTCTGTCCGCACAGGGCTGGTCTGGCAACCCGGTCGTGGGACATGATTCGCATTTAATCACTGGTAACTATTTCGTTCGATTCAATTTTTCCAATCGACCTGTCAAGAGAATTTCAAAAACTCTCTCTTTTCGTCAAATGTATTTATTTTCCCTGCCAAGTTTCACGTCATCTACAAATTTCACGGGCATGCGTCCTGCATGCTGAGAAGAATGTTGCAACATTTTTAAATGGCCTTTAGTGCACACCCTGACAAACCCGGACAACCTCAGCTAGTCACCAGCACCCCATGGGCACCTTTGCCATGAACAGCCCCGGGGACGTCACGTTTGTGACACTCTGGAACGCCGTGTGGCGGTCCTGATTGTCGTTAACACCGTCCACTGTGCTTTTCCTTCCCGCTAAGCGAAAGGTATGTGGCGTGTATTGTCACGTTGTTCCTAGACTGTCAACAATAGATTCTAGAACCCTCCCTGGCGGGTACGTGAAGCTCAGAGGTCTGAAGCCTCTGCCCCTTTTTCAGAGTTGGAACTGCCCTCCGGAAACCCCCCTTTTTTAGATGATACTTCAGAGACCAGAGGGTCAGCCACGTCAACTGTGAGAACGTACTTGTCTGGGTGTGGAAATACGGGTTCAACTGGAGAAGGAGTGTCCTGTCTCCAATGGCTTCTCCCACATGAGGCAGAGCGTGCTCATTCATACAAACGCTTTTCTGCATATAAAGATTCTTCTTCGCAGAGACACAGAACCAAAACCAAAGAAGCTGGCCATTCTCTCTCCGCAGTCTGCAAGCCCCCCCAGCGGTAGCCATTTTCTTAGTATTCTCTGGCTCTGAAACTAAGAACTCATGTTAAATGTCATCTTTTCTCGGCCTAAACGGATTCTGGAGAGTCACTCTTCTAGCTTTGAAGTCCTTCCTGTTTGCCTCCAGGGACCTGGTACATAAGCGTCCCAACGAAACGTGAAAGCAGGGGCTGGGCGCTATACTTGACGAACGCCTTCCCGCTACCCTTCAGACCCAGCCCCCAAGGCCTGCAACGCAGTGACAGGTGGACAGATCACATCCCGGTTCCTGAAGATCACGGAACTACTTTTTTTTTTTTTTTT